CTGGGGGGTCATTAGTTAATTAAATTAATTAATTTTATTAATTAATTTAATTAATTTAATTAAGTGAAGAAATTAATTAATTTAATTGAAGGAATTTACTGCTTCAATTAAATTAATTTTATTTAATTAATTAATTAAAAATTTAATTAATTAATTAGTTGTAATCCGCCAGTACGAACAAACAAAAAAAACATTAAACAAAAACACAAAAAGGAGATGAATCGAACGATAAAGAATAAACAAATAAATAAATAAAATAAATATATATATATGAATAAATAAATAAGTATTAAGCCGCCGAAATAAGAAAAAGAAAAGCAAAAAGATTAAAATATGCACGCGGTGAATAAATACGTAGACGAAATGTTTTTGTTTTTTTTTGTATTTATTGCAATTAAAATATTTCCTTTTGAACTCTTTTTATTTTCCTTTCAATTCTTTTTTCTTCTTTTCTTCCTGCTTTTCTTTGTTTCTTCGTCTTTTGTTTCTCTTTTCTTGTCTATTAGGTGTATGCTCCTAGAGCAAACAAATGCAGAAAAATAGGTTTAAACTGTCTGCGAGGTTTGTTATGTGTTTTAATCTCCTTTATTTTATTTGTTTTCTTGTTATCTTCTTTCTTGCGTTTTATCTTCTCTGTTTGCTTCTTTTATATTTGTTTGAGGGGTGATGCATTTTGTTTATTTTGCTTTTTCTTTCCGTGAGGTCTTCTCTTTCTCTCCTTCGCATTATGCAATAATTATTTAGGGGGTTTAATTAGTGGGTGTTAGTGGGATTAGTTGAAGTAATAAGTAAAAACAGAAAAAGAAATCAGCAAAAGAAGGAAGGAGACAGACAGCCGAAACAAAAAAAGAGAAACGAGGAACAGTGATTAGAAACAGAAAAACAAATAACACGACGAGGTATATACAAAGAGAAACAAGAAAGAGAAAGAAGAGAGAAATAAGAAATAAGAGAAAAGCTGATTATGTTTATTCTACTTAAGGGGTTTATTCAATTCATAAATAAAGACAAACAACGGCAACAGCTTTAATTGCAAAACAGACAAATGAAAGTAAAATGAAAACATAATTTATTCATAAAATGTTGAATTTTTTGTTGCAACTTTTGAGGTGTGCAGACACCTCAATGCGTGCTGATCATTTAGTTATGAAATTCAAAATATCTAAGGTATTTTCTTCGTTTTTTCTCGGGAAAGCTGCAATTATTATCAATATTGCCATTATATTTATCCTTTTATTGATAATTCTCCGCAATGATCTCCAATTTAGACGATAATAATATCTTTTTTTCTTCTGCTGAAGAGGCGAAAGAAGAAGTAATTGCACAGAGGATCAGCACTCTTTGCGGCGTTAGCGAGGGCTTCAAATTGAAAGTAAATGCTATTAAGGAGAATTCCTTCGATTTAATTTATATAATTTTGATTATTTTATTCTTATTTTCTCACCTTTTCCCTACAGGTGCAGCAGCTGCAGCAGAAACGCATGCAATTAGAGAACACAAGACAGGAACTGCTACAGAATAATCAACAACTCGATAGACAAATTCAACAACTTCAAACATCTCTAGAAGACCTAAGCGCTCAGAGTGAAGTTCAAATTAAAACAACAAATGCATTAAAACAAAAAATAGAAGAACAGACAAAAAGAAAATGCGTACGTGAAGATTCCTTCATCAGCCACTGTTGAATAATTCTTTTCATTCAAAAATAAATATCGCATTCACCCCAAAACCCTAAACCCTAAAACCCTAAACCCTAAAACCCTAAACCCTAAAACCTTAAGAAAAAGTAATTGAGCAAAAGTACTGTTAAAGGAATGCATAACATAAAAACTTTAAGCTGTGCATTATCTCCATCGCATTCACAATTAATTGTTTTTTTATTGTTTGTTATAATAGCTAACAACATAAATATTAATTAATTAATGTATTTATTTATTTAAATGTAATTATTTTGTTTTCTTTCTTAGGAATTAAACTTCGCTAACACGTGGATTCGAACGGGAACAGCGTGTGCTGCTTTGCATCATATTTTAGGGTTTGTTTATTTCTTTTTAATTCTTTTTATTTTATTATTTTTATTTTATTTGCTGTTTATCTTCTTCTTTCCCCTTCTAAAGAATTAGAGAAGACCTGAGCAAACTGAAGCAGCAAATGCTGCTCAAGCATGAAGCAACAGCAGCAGCAGCAGCAACAGAAGCAGCAGCAGCACCAGAAGCAGCACCAACAACGGAAGCAGCAGCAGCACCAGACACAGCAGCAGCAGCTGATGCAGCAGCAGCAGCAGATGCTGCTGCTATT